CCCGCCGTCAATAGGGTAAAAACCGTAAAAAAGCGGCTATCGGCCCCCAGGGCAGCGCAAGCGATAAGTCAATTTGGAGAGGGGGAAAAACGGATTAGGACATCAACCCATCCTTTTACTCGAGCTCTCGCGCTCGCGCTCTCTCTCTCTCTCTCTCTCTCTCTCTTCTCTTTCTCTCTTCAAATGTTGGCTCGAAAGCCCATTCAAACGGCCGATACAAAGAACAGGCGACATCCCGGAAGCTTTCCCGGTGATTAGTTGCCGGGAAAAATTCTGGAAAGCTAGGTTTAAACCGGATTTAAAGGGACCGGCAAGGTTAATGCAAGGAATTTTCTCTCTCTCGCGCGCTGTCTCTCTCGCTCTCTCTCTCGCTCTCTCTCTCTCTCTCTCTCTCTCTCTCTCTCCCCCTGTCTCCCAACTTTCTTCAACTACGAGTTAATCGAATCATAAACCGAAATTTTTGGTGCTGCTAATCCGAGGAACGAATTCCCCGAGGATAACCCGAGGTCAGGTGACACAAAAATTCTGTAAAAATTCGATTAAGGTATCAGGGGAATCACAAATCCGCCAAAAATTCCGAAGTTTTGGACCTGATTATGAGAACTTAAAATTAAGGGATTGAAAAATCAAGACAAAACCCGGTTTTCACACTTCGAAAACATTTTTTCTTGGCTTTGCTAAAAGACGCCATCCCTCTAGCCTAGCCTCCCTCTAGCCGATTCGGCTTGAGTTTTAGAATTATGCTTTACAGGGAGAGAGCCAGCACGTTGTTGGCCGTTTTACGTAACTTCCTAGGTGTCACCATCCCTTTAAACTCGATTTTTCAGGACAGCGGTCACCAGATGTCACTCCTAATGGGCAACGATCAACACCCACGCTCACCATCTTTACTCACCCCCAATCGATCGCCCACAGATTCCCCATTTCCGGGGAGGAGGTACTGTAGTGGCAGCAGGATTTAGAAATCGACGAAAAGCCGATTTTGCTATTTTTAATTTCTAAAAATGGCCACTAATACGTCACTTTTCCAGTCGTCTCTACCAGAAACGCAGGTATAGTTGGAGGGTGCTGGCTTTTCATAGGCAAAGATTGGAAAATTTGGTTTTTGCTTTGCGTCCTGTCGGCTTTCAAATGCTATAGAAACGATATTATTTTTGGTCATTTCGAGATGAATCCTTCAAAAATTAAGTTGATATCATTTCATCTATTTCAACAGGGTTACAGTTCATGAAAAAATAGGCTTCAAATTTCTCCCAATTGTCCACGCTTTAGTTTGCAACCAACCGGCCCTTGTTTTTTCGGGAAGCGACACAAAATTTACAGAAAAGGGTGGAAAATCCCGGGCTTGAACCATACGCTGGGCAAGCTGGATCAGCCGGATTTTCTCTGCCCCCCACCTGATCCGGATTTGATACTTGGGTGGAGCCAAAAGGGTGGACATTTTGTGTTGTCGCGGAATTTAAACTGCCTGTGAATTGGGGAGGGAGAATTCAGGTGGAAATAGATGTGAAGTGGAACGAATCAGGCGTATGTGAAATTTGTGAAAACCGATTCAGAAACATGAATTTAGGTCCCTGCCCCAGACACCAACGCAACGGGTGAGACGATCACTGCCTTCTACGCCCAGGTAGAGGAGATGTTTTTGCGTAGTTTCTCTCTCTCTCTCTCTCTCTCTCTCTCTCTCTCTCTCTCTCTCTCTCTATCTCTCTCTCTCTATCGCTCTCACTCTCGCTCTCTCCTCCCTCTATCTCTACCGCACTCGCTCTCTTGCTAGCTTGTTGTCTTGCTCGCTCTCTCGCTCTCGCTTTCTCTGGCTCGCGCGGTTCCTCGTTATCGATCTCTCTCACTCTCACCTCCCCACTGCCCGTCTTGCTTGCACCTTTAAATTTTCCAAGTAGTATTTTCCATTTCAGAAGCACCTCCCCTCGACTCTTCCAACCCCAAATGGCACACCTAGAGGAGAATTTCCCCACGAGCAGTGGCAACTCATCAAAAACGTCGAGGTACGGTATTTTGAAGACTACAAGGATAATTTGATGAGCCATAGCCCCCCTCCAGTTGCCATTAATCTTGATCCAAACATTAGAAAGTCCCGGAAAACCTGAGTTCACTGAGACTCCCCCTGAAAACATGGTCCGTTGGCGGTGATGCTGCCCTGATGCACCCAAAATGACTCCCCGGGGAATTTGGCGTCACTTTTCCGTGGGGCGCAACCCTTTGCACACCACACCCAGATGTCTTCTCGCGATTTCCGGCTGGGCTTTGTTATTGTCGCAAAATCGGGTTGATTTTTGAGATAAGTGGCTTAAGCTGACTGAAGTTTTCGGCGTTAGGTCTAAGCTTAGGCTTAGGCTTCGGCTTAGAATTAGGCTTAGGCTTAGGCCTCTGCTTCGTGCTTAGGCTTGGGCGAAGGCTTGGGTTTAGGCTGAAGCTTGGCTTAGGCTTGGCCTAGGCTTGGCTTAGGCTTGGCTTAGGCTTAGGCTTGGCTTGGCTTAGGATTGGCTTAGGCTTGGCTTAGGCTTGGCTTAGGCTTGGCTTAGGCTTGGCTTAGGCTTGGTAGGCTTGGCTCAGGCTGGGACTTCGGCTTACAATTAGGCTTAGGCTTATCTCTAACACTCTACTCTACCCACCCTCCCTATTTACCCAAGCAATGATGTGCTAGCGGGGGTTGAGCACCACCTCCCCACCACATTCGTCAAACTTACCCGAAGCCAAAGAAATTCCCAGTCTACTCGAATTTCGGCGGGGATACATAGATTTGTCTCCCCGCCCCGGTGGGCCCACCTTAGGGCCCACGCACCTGGGCCCTACGGCTACGAGGCCAAGCTTCACACGCCCACCTAGCAGTTATCGGCATCACTTTTTTAGCTTATTTTTTCTCTTTTTTGTTCTTTGTTCAGAAATTAGTTTTCGTAATTTCAGAAAGGTGCTCCAAAAATATTCCGAAATTTTTGATAGATAAGATAAATTAGATTCTTTGCCTTGTTATCAAGGATTTTCAGCTGTGAAGCCTCGCCGCGACAGCGCTCTCCGCGGCGGCTAGGACTGATTGGGTGAGTTTTACGGGCCTCAAAGGAACTAGACGTTTCCGGTGTTCTCAATTTTCCCCTCCACATTCCCTTCAATAGCCTTTTAAAACGGCATTTTTATGCGCTTTTCGTGTTTTGACTAGGGGCTTGTCTATGCATTTCCGGGGTCCGTATAATCATAGCCCCTCCCTGGGCACACCGCTAAAAAATAACGATCTCCCATCGAAGCAAAGCACCAGCGGGATGCGCGATTTCGTCTTCCGGTTTTATTCGTATTCAATTTTGACTTGGATTTAGGTTTAGGCTTTGGTTGAGGCTTAGATATAGGCTTGAGCTTAGGTTTAGGCCTAGGCTCAGACTTAGGCTAACTTTAAATTTAGGTTAGCTGGGGCTTGGGCTTGGATTAAGCTTAAGCTTAGGCTTAGGGTTGCGCTGAGGCCTCTGCTTAGACTTTAAGCTAGGCTTAGGCTTAGGCTCGGGCTTAGGCTTGGACTGCACTTAAGCTTAGACTTCGCTTTAGGCTTAGGCATGGGTTTAGGCATTGGATTATGCTTAGGCTTAGGCTTAGGCTTGGGCTTTGACTTACGCTTAGGCGTTGTTTCGACTTATCTTTAGTTTAGGCTTAGGGTTAGGCTTTGGCTTAACTTAAGCTTGGACTTAGGCTTCTCCTAGGCCTGTAGATTCGTGGCGGGACCCACCCAGTTCTCGGGCCCGTTCCCTAATAGCCGGTCGTTATATAAAGGGGGGAAGAGGGGAGAATGGGCCCTGCGCCCATGGCAGGGCCCTATTTCTTTTTCTTTTCTGCCCCCCCCCCCCCACCCCAGCCGCGTATGAAATTGCCATTTTTGTGCATTTTGCTGTGTTCCACCCACCTCCTGGCCCATTCAAAATGCCCTCTCGGCATTGCGGGTTTTTTAAAACGTCAGAAGTGCGGGTTTCCGGGGGCGTTCGAGAGTTTTTGAAGTTTTTTTTATAGCTTAATTTATGATTCTTTAGGTTCAAGACGTTAAAAAATTGCTAGGTACCTCCCCCCCTAATGCAAAAGATCCCATAACAGCCTTAGCGGTCCATCTAAAATTCTAACGATCATATTCGCGCCATTTCCGCGTGTCGCGCTCTTTTTTTCGTTATTTTTCTGATTTCAAAGACCGTTATGACCGGGGCACTTTCCACCTGCTTTGTTTTTTGGCAATTATTTGGCGGCGCCAATAATTGGGGGAATTTCGGCATTCCGTGTCGATTCGGCAGCCTTTTTTAGGGCTAATCAAAATCCAATTGCCAACCCCAGAGGGGCAAATTTCCATCTGGTGTTCGTTGGCATTCACTTAGAGAATTTTTCGCTGAGGTTTAGGATCGATTTCTAGTGTGATTTGATTTTTTGTGTGTTTTGTGATTTTGAGGCTTCTTCTTTGGTTTCTAAGTAAATCGAGGAATCGGTTTTTTTAAAATTTTAAAAATTTAAAAATTAAAAAAAAGTTTCTAACCTTAAAAAAGTGAAAAATTTCATTAAAAATCGCAAATATCGTTTTTCGTACAAAATGGGCGATTTTTCAAAAATTTTGGACTTAAAAGTTTGTTTATAAAATTTGTGCAATTAAAATTTAGTTAAATACTACTAAATACCTTACTAAAATGTTTACTATCCCGCTACTACGCGCTTATTGGTTTATACGAAAAAACAGATGTTCCCTCGTAACCCCCCGCCCCCCCCCCCCGATGATGGAAAAGCTCCAAATATTCGTTTTAAAAGGGAATGCAAAAGTTGAAAAAAGGCTTCAATACATTAGCGAAAATTGAAGGTTTCCGTTGCTCTAGAAACTATTATTTTATGTGGTGTTTAAAGGGACCTTGAAGCCAAAAAAATGAAAAATCACGGTTTCTAAAGTTGCCCATCCTACCGTAAACTTCACCGTTAAAACTATTGTAGTCCATAGTTACTCTTCCAATTTCAGTCGTCGTGCCCCGGTGGCGATGCGAGACAGCGGGTTCGTCGAGCCGAGCGCCCACGGCGAAGAGGAGGACACCATGGGGCAACTGCGCAGTTTCGACATGAACAAGGGCAAGTTTAAGCGTCTTTGATGATTATATGCGTTTTGCTCGTTTTATATAATTGTAAAATTTAATATATTGTGCCCTGGCGGCATCAATATACGTAAGAATCTCCCAAAATAATTAAAGATCATTCTAAAAAATGTTCTAGTTTTCTCCAAAATTCTCTTACGGCTCAAAAAAATTATGCCTCAACTATCCAAAACAACCACGTTATCTTAGCGTAAAAACGATATCAAACAAATCGAAATCCAAGGTTTTTCGAAATTATGCAAATTTTTCAGGCAATCTCGTCGACAAAGGCTTCCAAAATCGCCCGCCCCCAGTGGCGCCGAATTTGCTGGCGAGGCGAAGTAAGTAGTATTTTTATTACTTTTTCACTAACATAAAACATTTAGGAAACTTACATTGTATTTAAAAAAGTAATGGTTAAGTTTTTAAGTCCAGCTATTTTTAACGATTAAAAACTTTCTTTTCAGCCGAATCCCGACGCGCCACCTGCCCCGAGATTTGGCTTTTCCCCGAGACGTCCAAGCCGGTGAAGCGCGTGGTTTTAAGGTCGGGATAAAAAAGACAAAAATTGATTTTTTTGTAGGGTATACGGTAACTCGTGTGTGGGGAAGAAGACGCTGTGCCAGCAAATTCACCACCACGCTGCAAAGGCAACGCCGGAGTCCGTCAATATACTATGTGTGTTTTTAAGGTTTACGCTTAGGCTTAGGCTGGGGCTTATGAATGGGCTTTGGCTTAGGCTTAGGCTTAAGGTTAGGCTTTTGCTTAGGCTTACGATCAAGCTGTGGCTTAGGTTTAGTTTTTTCAACCTAGCGATTTTCAGCCGCCGAAACGGAAGAAAGCGGAAAGTCGCGTACGATCAATTTTCTGCTCAACGGCGAGGAGGTGCAGCTGGAAATCCTGCTCGAATCGGCGCTGGAGGTTTGTGGATTTCAAGTCATTTCTGGGTTCTTGCTCCCGGTTTCGACTGCCCTTGCCAAAATAATGAAAAAATACAGAAGTAAAAATACAGCTATCCGCTTCAGACATCCCCATTCTCGCCGCACGTCACGATGTTTATGGTCGTCTACTCGGTGACGTCGCGGGAGAGCTTCCAAACGGCCGCTGATCTACTGTATCGAATATTTCAGGTATTACGCATGTTTTCAGGGGATTTCTGCAAGTAGAATTGGCCGAAAAGGCCTGTTTTACAAGCACTTTCAAGAGTCTTCACTCAAGGAGCCTTTCCGCTCCCTTTAAAACATTCCGTTCAGCACCGAAAGACAACGGCCGTACCCGTGTTGCTGGTGGGAAATAAAGTGGATCTGAAGCGGAAGCAGGCCGTTAGTGCTATGGGTTTGTCTATAGGAAACTGACGGAATTCTGTGTTTAGAGGGCAAAACTCTGGCGAAAATCTATAAATGTACCTTCCTCGAGCTGTCCGCACTAATGGCGATGAATGTAGACACGATGTGGAAGGACCTGTTGACACAGGTGAGATAGAGAGAGAGGGGGAGAAAGAGTGCGAGAGAGAGGGAGCGAGAGAGAGTGCGTGAGAATGAGAGAGTGAGAGAGAAAGAATTTTACATTTCAGATCGGCGGTAACGACGGCAGAAGCATTCTGGAGCGACTTGTCGACCGTGGCAAGAGCATCGCGCGCAGTTGTGAAGAAATAGTGCAGAGAATGAGGAGGGGCGAGGGATTAGGAGAGGTGAAAGAAGCTAGAGAATCGCTTGGGGAGCAGGGGCTGGATGAGGAAGAGGAGGAGCAAGAGGGACAAGAGGATGAGGAGCAAGAGTCGTAGCCCTTTTTGTTGGAAGGGCTTTAAAGGAGCTGGGAAGGTCAGGCTAAAATTCGGCAGGCTCAGGCTGATGAGGTTTTGGATTGGGGTTAAGCTTAGCTTCACGATTCTTAAAAACTTTTTAAAGCCTTTCCTTACCAGCTGCTTTAGCGACTGACTCTACATATTATTTATTGATCAAATATCCTATATAATGTCGTAATTAATTAATTTTCCTGAGTTCCCCCTCCAAAATTGTGATTTTCCTTTAGCCAAAGTAGCCGAAATTTGTATTTTGCTGCTTCATTAATTTCCATATATCAACAATTCCCGGGTGTCCGCCATACCAAACACAATTCTTCTGTGCATTTCTCCCACCATTTTTGAACGATTTCTGTGTATTTTATCCACTTTTTTCTTAATAAAAACTGTAAATATTCGCGATATTTTGCAAAAATACAGCCTTTATTTCCTCAATACTCTCTGCTAGCTGGCAGTTATTTGAAAATTTGGATAACTAAGGAGTTTGGCAAGCATTTGAGCGTTTCGCGCTGACTTCTAGACTATTCTCAAGTCTCCCACCGTCGATTTTCGGCCGATAGACCTTGTTGTTGACATCGGAACGTTCCGTTTTTGTACGCGTAAGGGGGAGGAGGCGTGCCCTGAAGGTCGGCATGGCCGCCGCCGGTTTGTTTTCGTCCATTTTATCGGCGTCACCCGTGGGGCTGGCCGCGGTTTTTTACGGGCCCGCGTGCGCTTTATGTTGCCATCGGTTTTTGTGTGTTCGAAAATCAACCGAATGTCCCGGTTTGATCTCTAAAAATGGGATAAAATGGTTTTTTTGCCTGTTACTGTCCCCTGAAGCTGCTAACTGTCGCATTTCCTAGCTTCTAGGTCTTCTAGCTGTCACACTGCCTTTAAAAACGGGTTTTTTATTTTTTCTAATCCGTTTAAAGTCAATTTTTTTTTACATTTGCCTCAAAAGTTGTATTTTAGCTCCATTAAACCCGGTTTTCTAGGTGTAACGCCCCCTGAAAAATATTTCTAGCTGTCGCACTCCTTTGTGCTAAATTTCCAGATGTCACTCTGGATTCGTAGCCGTTATTTTAGTTTTCAGACCTTCAGAAACCATGTGCTATCTCCGTGCGGCTGTGCAAAGCTAAGAATAGCAAAAAACCCATATTTTTTCGAGAAACCCTCAAAAATTACAAATAAAAACTTGACGCGATCACCTCACCAATTCCACACGAGGTCGATTGTCTTTATTATCAATTCGAGAGTCGTCTGTCTGTCAGTTTGTCTGTCTATCTGTCTGTCTGCCTGTCTACCATCGCACAAAATCACATGAGGTGGGTGGGCGATTTGCTGAGTGAAATTTTACAACCTCCCCGCCCATCACAGCCCCCCCCATTTCGCATCTTTCCCTTTCAGCCGCCCATCATCGGCAAAAATGCATGAATCAAATTTTTTAGCGCTTTCGTTTTGTCTATAAATAAAACATCTAAAAAATATAAAAATCTAATTTTATCAGAAATGCCGCCGACAGCCCCCGAACACACAGATCAACCGGAGCAAAAATTGAGGTAATTCAGAGGCGTTTAATTTTCTTGTGTTGCGCTGCGTTGAAATAGCCCTTTGACTCTCCGGCTAACTCTCAGTCGTGCTCTCTCTTTCTCTCTCTCGCTCTCTCCCTCTTTCTCGCTCTCTTTCTCTCTCTCTCTCGCTCCCTCACTCTCACCCTCACTCTCTCCTATCGCTCTCTCATTCACTCGCCAAGCATAAAACGTAAAAATAGAAATAAAGCAAGACCAAGCCCCCAGCCCGAGCCGTAGCCTATCCTAAGCCCACCATGCCCAAACCAAGCCTAGGGCAATCCTAAGCCAAAGCCTACGACTCACCCCTTCCAACCATTCGTCACTTCCCCAGTGCATCTATTTTCATCATGGGCGTGCCCTAGGTGCTCTCACTCAGTCAGCCTCGTTTCCGCTTCTTTTTTGCATACAGCCGAGATTCGCTGTTGGCTGTTTTATCTGTGCTGTGTAGCCATTTCCCGTCTCTCTCTCTCCGGTCCACCGGCACTTTCCGATCAGGCCATATCCCCCAGGCGTGTCTGCCGGTCAAGGCTATATCTTCCAGCACTGCAAAGCTGCCCGCTTATTTTGGATTTTGTCGAGTTGGCGGCTCACCGTTATTGAAATCAGCTATATATTTTAAATTGTTGGGAAATTTCCATTGAGTAGTTGTAGGGCAAATTGATCCGGCGAGGGCTCACCGTGGCAGCCCCTAAAATTCTAAAAATTCTTCGAATTCATGTAATCCAAATTTTCTTTTCGCGGTGTTATACACTTTTACTTTACTCAAGAAATATTTGCTTTTGATGACCCTTTAATAGTCCAATATAGCTACAAATCCCACGTAGTATGCAAAGCTCCTATTAACCGTTTTTCTTCAAATTTGGCCTGGCCGGGAAAGCTCGAGCTGGCGCAGATTTTCGCCTTTTTCCCTTTCAAGCACCTAAAAAACACTCAAATTCGCATTTTTTTTTGCCTACGCACCGGCCTGAGCCTAATCTTGAGCAGGAGCTGATTTCCAACTCAATTAGCTGGCCGAACAGCTACCGGTTGGGTCCACGTTGGCCAAAAGTTCAAAACGGCAACTCGGGAAATGGACTTTGCCATCTCTCTCACTCTCTCTCGCCCTCTCTCTCTCTCTCTCTCTCTCTCTCTCACCCTCCCTCCTTACTTATCATTTTCCGCGAATGTCCTCTGTACCCCTCGGCAGCCCATAAAAAGGAACGCATAAAAATGGAAGCGCCTTGCCGGTTAATTTTGGACTGAACACTCGGGCTTCTGAGATAAGCCCTCCGCTAGACTCCAAAGCCAAAAAAGCCAAAAAAAACACAGGAGAATCAAAAAAAAACTTTTTTTATTGGCTTGCAGCTGGTGGCTGGTGGGGGCGCATTCGAATCGATTTTCGAGCGCATGTGTTTATTGGAATTGGAGGAAAGCCGGGAGGGGGCCATTTGATCAACATTTTCGTGAGGTCAAGCCATGTTTTCGGCGCGCCACATGCTAATTTTCGTGCGTTTTCGTAGATTGGCCTGTTTTGGCAGCACGGTAAATGGGCCTGTTTACGGTTTTTGGGGCCAGATGTGCTTTAGCCACGAAAACATCATATTTTCCATTTGGAGTTAGCCATAAGTCTGGGCACACTGTAGAGTGGGTTCGGCTAGGCTTAGGTTTTGACGTTGGCTTATCCTTAGGCTTAACCTAATCGAAATACAAAAATTTCATTCTCGCTCCGTCTCTATCCTTTCTCTCCTGTCTTTCTCTCTCTCTGTCTTCTCTCTCTCTCGCTTTCTCTCGCTCGTTTTCTCGCTTTCTCTCTCCTGCCAAAAAATGAGTTTGATCAGCAAACAAAACCTTATCAACCCTGCAATCGTCCGCGCCCCGAGGGGTCAAATTGCGCGGTGCGGTTTCTTGCTAGACAAAGGGAGAGAGAGAGAGAGAGAGAGATAGAGAGGCAGAGAGAGACCAAGAGAAAGAACACGGAAATGCTCGTCACCCCAAAAAAACAAAACGGCCGGAACGCTGGCTAAGCCACGCAAGCGACTCGTCCTGTTCGGCAAACACACCGAGCCGGCCGCCCCTTTTGGCCGATACGTCCAAACCATCTGTCTATTAATGCACTTTAGAATCAGCAATCGTTCAGTTCATAATTACCCCTTTTCAGCCCCAAAATGCTGACCGAGGTGAAGCGCGACAACTTCAAGTCGTTCTGGGACAAGTACTCAGATACGCCCGATAATACGGCAATGATGCTGAAGTAAGTAGGAGGGAGTCGTTGGGAAGCTTTGGCGTATGCTTACGCTTAGGCTTAAGCCTAGGCTTAGGCTTAGGCTAGGCCTACTTATTTTTCTTGATTTCTGAATCTTTTAGCATGGAGGCCTCGAGCCAACAAGTCCTGGGTACTTGGCCGATGCGCCAAAAATCCCGGGAGCAAGTTTTTAGATTTTTGTTATGGAAACTAAGCCAAAGGAATTTTCTAAAAACTTTTTTTCAGCAATAACGCTGGTACGCTGGAGGAGGATGACCGTCGTGACATTTTGTCCTCGCTGCCCGACGTCACCAACAAGGATGCCGTTGATATTGGGGCTGGAATTGGGTGAGCCAAGTAGTCATGAGCCCCTTGAAAGTACCTGGTCGCTCTCACTATCTCCTTCGCTCTCTCTCTCTCTCTCTCTCTCTCTCTCTCTCTCTCCCCCCCCCCCTCCCCCAACTCACGCCCCCCCCCCCCCCCAACTATCGCCCCTCTCTCTCCTCTCTCTCTCTCTCTCCCAACCGGCCTCTCTCCTTGCCCTAGACGTTCTTAAACCTATGAATTCCACGCACTGGAAAGTATAATTTTCTACTCCCCGTCCAACAAGTTCGATGCGTTCAAAAACGGTTCCCTGCCCGTTCTCTTTCTGGGAGCCAAGATCACTAGGTTCTATTTATCCATTTTTGATTGCATTTCTCTCTTCATCCATTTCTCTCTTTCTCTCTCTGTCTCTCTCTCTGTGTCTCTCTCTCTCACCGACCAAACGACCATCCCGTCACGTTGCAGCTATCAATCCCAAAACTCGGGGGGATTTCCACGTCTATCCCATTTCCATTTACCCGCAAAAAGTCGCGCGGCGTTTCCGTTTTTGGCGAATGGTGTCTCGGCCCAATCCGTCTCGTCTCACGTGATTCAACATATCCGAGGAGTTCGTGTTCGGGTGGAATTTACAAAAAAAATGGAAACTATAGGATTAAATGGATTGGGGAATCTCGGGGAATAACGAGAGAGAGAGAGAGAGAGAGAGAGAGAGAGAGAGAGCGAGATAGAGAGGGAGAGAGCAAGCCTGATCAATTTGCATTTTTCAGCCGTTTCACCACCGTACTTGCCCAAACTGCTCGCTGGGTGCTCACCACCGACTTCATCGACTCGTTCATCAAGAAGAACAAGGTTTGCGCCCCCTCTTCTTTCATTGTAAGTTCAAATCTAGGAACGAAATGCCCAATTCGACAATGTTCACTACCAAGTTGGTGACGCTGTCCATCTACGGATGGAGGATTCAAGGTGCGTTGGCCAGCTTTCCCGGCTTCACCATCCATTAATGCATTAGTTTCTCCTCCTATTTTAACGGAGTATTAGAGCCTTGAACCCACAAAAATAGTCCTTCTAGTGTTGACCTCGTGTTCACGAACTGGCTGATGATGTACCTCTCCGACCGGGAGGTGATCGAGTTCCTGATGAGTGCAATGCGCTGGTCCCGCCCAAATGGTTGTGTTCATCTACGGGAGAGCTGCACAGAGCCCAGCACCGGGAGGACCACCGGAAATACGCTGCATAATCATGCAGAGGCCAATCCCACTCACTACAGGGATGCGTCGTTGTATATCAAGTTGTTGAAGGAGTTCCGCTATCGGTGGGTTTGGGTTTTGGGCTTGGCTTAGGCTTAGACTTAGGCTTAGGCATAGGCATAGACTTAGGCTTAGGCTTAGGCTTAGGCTTGGCTTAGGCTTGGCTTAGGCCTAGGCTTAGGCTTGGCTTAGGCTTAGGCTTAGACTTAGGCTTAAGCTTACGCCTAGGCTTAGGCCGAAGCTTAGGCTTAGGCTTGGGCTTGGGCTTAGGCTTAGGCTTAGTCTTAAGCTTGAGCATAGGCTTAGCTTAGGCTGAATCTGACCGCTCTAAGCTTAGATTATCGATTTTTATCTTTATAATTCCAGCGATGCCGAGGGCAAACTCTGGCGTTTCGACGTCCTCTGGTCGTGCTCGGTGCCAACGTACATCAAGGTATCCCACCACCTTCCAGTTCCTCTAAGCCCAATTTAGCGCATGCAAAATTGGCGCCAAGTGCACTGGTTGGCGAAGAAGGTGCCGGCTGAGGAGGGAGAGGTGAGAGAAAGTTTTGACGCTCATTTCCGCTTCAATACAACGATTTGAGGAGCTTCACCATACCTGCACAGCCCCTTTAAACTCCGACTTTGCAGGAGAAATCCTTTGACGACTACCTGGAGCTGTTCTCCATCACCTGGCAGGACATCCAGAACTCGTGGAATGAGGAGCTGGAGCCGGAGCAGCACGTGTGGACCGATCAGGTCTAAAGAATGAGAATGACCTTATCCGGAGTTTCAGATTTTCGATACAGTGCTTGGAACAGATGCCGTTCCGGAAGGCTCCACTGCCTACGTCTATACCCCGAGGGTCATCAGCCCGTATTGCCATGTTGATAGCCATCGCATTGCACAGGTAGGCATAAGCCCAGCCTAAACCAAGTCAAATCCGTTTTTTTCAGAAGCTGTCTTCCAATGTATGGAACGTCGAGCTCGACCCTTACTACTACACCACCTCCCTCACCCGGGCCAACACCGTCAAGGACAAGCGGTTTGCTTTTCTCTCTCTCTCTCTCTCTCTCTCTCTCTCTCTCTCTCTCTCTCTCTCTCTCTCTCTTTCTCTCTCTCTCTCTCTCGCTTGTTTTTCCTCTCTCTCCTCTCTCTCTCTCTCTCTCTCTCTCTCTCTCTTGTTTTCTCTCTTTCTCTCTCTCTCTCTCTCTCTATTAAAGACACCTTTTAGAGTCCGATACGGCTGGAATGAGAATCTCCAGGCTTCAGTAGACTACTGGAAACAGCGAGGCGGAGACTTCAACGCCCTCGTCGCCACTGAACTCCTTGCCACCAATGATGCACAGTCGATCCGGGATCTGGTGGTAAGTATAATTTAAGCTTGGGCATAGGCTTATTCTGAGGCTAGGCTTAGGCAGCTGAAACCATTTATTTCTAGTCAATCCTCAACCCCTCGGCCAAGGCATTCCTCCTCGAGCCCGTCGAATCGATCGACAAGGACGAGCTATCCAAGGTGAATTAATTCATACATAAAAGATGTACATTTAATTAAATTAGAAGCTAACGGAATCCGGCTTCAAAACCTTCGAGATCACCGACATCACCGATGATGCGCTGCACGCCCAGCGCGCCTATTTTGAGGCCCACAAAAAGGTAGGGAATGAGAGAGAGAGAGAGAGAGAGAGGGGGGGAGAGAGCGAGAGAGAGAGCGAGCCAAATAAATTTTCCGATCCAAAAAACGCGATTTTAAAAACTTTACAACATTTTCAGCCCGCCGAGGTCGTCGGCAAGCACTGGGTGCTCATCGAGGCCACCCTGTAAATATTTTGCGGCCGAAAATCCTATACTTTCCATTCCGCTACGCTCCGTGTTGACAGTATGTACCGCTTCCACCCGTTAGCATTCCACTAGCGAAATTTGCAGAGCTAAAAATGACAAAATTTTGCCCGTTCCCCCACCGTTTGACTTGTTGATTACGAGTGTTTTTTGCTGATTTTTTATAAAGATAAATTCTGCTAAATTTTGCTTTTTTATTCTTTACCGTCGTTTTTCGTTTGTGTTTTTGAATAAAGTCTAACGTTTGAAAATATGGAAAACGCTTTGGTTTGACTAAGAGACTGGGGTATTTTGCAGATTACGGCCAGTTATAAATGTCGCAATTTTGAAAAAGTACGATTTTTACTGACTACGTTGCCTAACATAAAAGCTACAAACCACAACTCAAACCACAGACTGATGACATCACGAAAACGAAATAATTCTATGAAGCGCGACAATTACGTTAGGAATTTCAGGCCAGACATAATTATACGAATTTTCGAGCGAGAGATAGAGAGCGATAGAGAGAGAGCGAGAGAGAGAGAGAGGAGAGAGAGAGAGAGAGAGAGAGAGAGAAAAGAGAGGAGTGAGCGAGAGATATATTTCAACCCGAGTTTTGCTAACAAATTTCGAGCCCTGAAGTGAGGAAGTGATAAGAGAAGCGGCGCGTTAGATGCTAAAACATGCCGGGTTTATTTATTCTAATGTTTTTGTACAATACCCGCCAGCTCATCTCGCCCTGGCACGATTCAGATCAATCCCAAACGCAAATAGCCGTGAGCTATAAAAACAGCTGGACTGGCACTTGACCAAGGAGTTTTAGAGTTGCTCGATCTTTCCCTTATTCTCGGTCTCGCTCTTTCTCAAGTTCTTGCTCACCCTCTTGCTCGTTTTCTGACTCCTTGTCTGTCGCTGCCTCTCTCTCTATCTTTCTCTTTTTTTCTCTATCCCGCTCTATTGGTCTAATCTGCGTAGAAACGATAAATATTGCGTATTTTTCCCATACAAAAATTACAAACCGGATTCCCTCATAAAATCCATCGTCATTCCCCCCCATATTCCAAAATTTCCGAATTCCGGGTGTGTTTGGAACGTCACCGGTGTGCGACACGCCCTTTGATGATTTTGTCACGCTCGCTCTCTGTCTCTCTCTCTTTCTCCTTCTCTCTCTCTCTCTCTCTCTCTCTCTCTCTCTCTTTCTCTCTCTCCCTCTCTCCAGCTATAAATATCTTATCATTGTTTCCCTCTCTTCTCCCCTCAAAAAAACATATGGTTGCCCAATAGACCCCGGGGCGTCGACCCAGGGTTAGTCAGAATTTTTTCGATAATTTTAGCGTCTACGCGCCGGAGTTTGCGTATTTTTGGTGACTGTTGTGTTAGAGGCGGTGGGGCCTGGCGCTTAAGAAAATTCTAAGCTCAACGCATTGCTTCTTGAAATATAAAAGAAAGAAGCTTCCATAAAAGGACGATTGCTGCTTTCTCACTATTAATTTTTGATGCCACATTTTTAGCTATGACTTTAAACCACTGTTTTTTCGTTTTGAGTTGCATAATTTGTTATTGTTGTACTAAAATTGTAATTTTTAGAAATCGTGAATTTAACCGCTGAAGCCATCGAACCCTAAATATGGAATCGACTCCCGACGCCGGCGCAGTGCTTTCGAGCTCTCGTTTGAATTCGCGTTATGCTAAAGAATCTCAGGTAACCAAATAGGCTTCACCAATTATGCAATGTATTTATTGTAGCCTTTACCGGAAGGCCGATATTTAATTATGACAAGGCCGAGGGGAGATCGACGGCAATTAGCGGATTTCGAGAACGTAGCGCCGTCCTGGAAGCCGATGGTAGGTTTGGGCTTACGCTCAGGCTTAGGCTCAGGCCTAGCTTCGACCTGGATCCTAGGCTTAGGCTTAGAATTCGCGACTTTTTTCAGGCCCCAAAACAAAACCCTCCACCGCCGCCAAAAAATCTGCGAACAGCCGGCGGTAAATACTTAGATTTTTCATATTTCTATACCGATGAACCGTCATCTTCCGGATCGTCTTTGAGTGATTCTACCAAATCCCTACCAAATCCATCTCTTTCCGCATCCACAAACTCCTGGTTAAGCAGCTCAAACAAGTATTGAAGGGTTGTTATGTCTCTCACTCTCTCTCTCTCTCTCTCTCTCTCTCTCTCTCTCCTCAAATGTATTGAAATTATTTGAATGTCTTTCACAACCTAAATCCCGATTGTATAACTTTTCTAACAGGTCTTATCCGTCATTCCACGCATAATTCTTTAGAGCCGTGGCTACTGGACCGAGAATTGTTCTCCTAACCCCCCGTCCTTATCACTTTTTTTGTGCGTGTCCTTATACGAATAAACGATTCATTGATGACCCGTGAAATTACCAGGAGAAAATCGAAAAATAAGACAAAGAGCGAGAGAGAGAGAGAGAGAGAGAGAGAGAGAGAGAGAGAGAGAGAGAGAGAGAAAGAAAGAGAGAGAGCGCGACAGGAAGCGAGAGATAATTGGAAAGTGCGCGAGAGAGACAAATAAAGCGTAAGAAAGCGAGGAGCGAGAGCGAGAACGAGAACGAAAGGAAGAATGGTAGAGAAGATGAATGAGAATGAAAGTGAGAGATAAGTAGAGCAAGTGATGCTTTAATCTAAAAGCAAATCCTGCTCCACCTCCCCCTCACTCTCCAAAATCACCCTCAAATTGTGATAGCTATGCCCAGGATGTGGCTGTGCAGTCCTACATAACATACAGTACGCTCTAAAGTCCCTTCTACGACGCAGGAAAATATATAAAAACAACAAAATTAAAGACGTGAGCCCCAGGAATTGATAGCTGAGCCAGGAGTCCGTCGCGATACTTTGCGCGCTGACGCGTTTCACGTAAAATATTTGAGGGTAGTGCTGTGGAAAGTCAGCCGTTTTCATCCAAGGGGTACAAGAGGAGGTGTGATTTTGCTTTTGGAGCTCCTCGAACCAATTCGTGGCCCAGGGACGGTAGAATTTGGGGGAGATCCGCTGGGTGCAGTCAAAGTTGGATGCCTCGGCGCCGGGTTGGGCCATAAAGTTGTGGAACCGTGTCTAAAGGGGGAAATTGGATAGACTTATATATAGATAGACCTGGGCATAGGCTTAGGCTTAGGCTTCGCTTATGCTTCTTTTTTTTCACAAACAATCCCCAAATAAACGTACACTTGTCAGATTTGCAGAAACATCAGCCCTAATCCCGGCCGGCGCGAACCCATACGTCCGATTGTACAGCAACTCGCCGACGCACGATATTGCCGCGTAGTCGAACGAGGGCATCATTTTGTTGGCAACCTCAAAAAAGGAATCCACCGGTCACGGCACCTTTAAAACGAACCAAAAATGGGTAGCCGGCGATTGTGGGCAGCTCTTCAATTCCGAGAAGGCAGATGCAGTGTCGGGATTTGCCGGAAGCACACAAGTGAGCATCAGCTGAGCAGTCCCAGTTTGAATATCTGGGGTTAGACTAGAATTGTTATCCGGGAATGGAAGGTTACCTTATGATTTTTTGGGTTGGATGTCCATCTTTTAGGCAGCGAGAGGTCATGCCGCCTGGGAGCTAGAAAATTTTGTATGAAGATAGGGAGGGCGAGAGAGGGAGAGAGACTGAGAGAGAGTTAGATAGCCAGAGTGACAGAGAGAGAGAGAGTAAGGGAGAGAGTGACAGAGAGAGAGAGAGACCGAGAAACTGAGAGAAGACTTAGAACGACTTCTAAGACGTCCAATACCTTTAGCACATCCGTCTGCTGCAGCGTTGCTAAAAAGCGCTCATCGATGCCGTAGCTGTACTATAAACAAAAATTTTCTAGCTTTTAATGTATTTCTGGCTTTTATACCGTATCCTCAAAATGCTGCCCCAAATACCCATCCAGGGACACGGTGTTGATCAGAAAATCGATAGCAGCTCTCGATATTAGTGATTGCACGAGCCCGGTGGCAAATTGCATCATCGAGTTGTCGGGGAACGATTCTGGGCGGTCTTTTAAAGGGAATATGACATTAGAAGCTGACTAAGAACACCGAGAAACCTACGATTTGCATAGAATCCCATGCCGTTGAGGTACCAGCCCTCAGAAACACCAGCGCAGCGTTCACATTTGGAGAGTTGGATGGCGTTGGAGCCTGGAATTTTCTGATTGTATTACTTGTTTTTTTCCTTACCGTTCAGTATATCGATGACGTCACTAATTTCGGGAGCAGTTTTGATGATGACGTCGTAGTTCTAGCGGTAAAAATAGAGCGTTCAAAGGTCTTGGAAGAGAGAGGGAGATGGGAGTGAGTCAGAGAGATAGCCAGAGAGCGAGAAAGCGATAGAGTGAGCTATAAAGTCGCTGGCAGAGAGAGAGAGAGAGAGAGAGAGAGAGAGAGAGCGAGAGTTATAAATCGTGCGAATACCTGCAAATCCAAAACATAAGCCCAGTTTCCGGCCCCCAAAACGGTTTTCCAGCACTCCCGAAAAGCGTGGCTCATAAAAGCCCCATTCCCGGATACGTTGTAAAGAGTTTTTGTCTAAAATTGCAAGAAATCTCGCTAAAACTTGCGGATTTATGCATACCAAATGGACATTCTCGACGCAGCTCTCTAATTTTAGCAAATTCCTGTGAAATTCGGTGCCCTCGGCCTTGAGATCGACGGCAAAACAAAATACGTGATCTGGGTGGTAGGTGAAGCCGAGCTGCTCTTCATGGAAATCGTAGTCCTGAAAGAGGCGTAGGCATAGGCTTAGGCTTAGGTAATTCGCTTCGCTACGTTATTAAAGCGTAAAAACCCAATTAAATTAAGTTTACAACCTCATTGACCACCCTGGCGACGGCTATCGAATTCTTCACCAGAGGATATTCGGAATACCGCATCACGCGTTCCCGAATCGATTCACAATCCATTTTTCGGGAACTGTCGGCATTCTTGACGATCCTTTGAACTGGCTATACCATAAATTAGCGCACATTAGCCAATCAACCGTTCGATAATCGCAATCCTCCGCGATAATCCGCTTACAGTCCACACTTTCGACTAGTGGATCGCGGCGGAATTCGTATTTTCGATTATAGGTTCCCTACAAAATTTCTTTGATTTTAATGGCAAATATTCATACCCAAGCTCTGGTCAGTTCAATAAAAACTAGGAGAAATACCAAGAAATAAGCCAATATCGGCATGCAAAAAGTAGCGGAGTGGAAATGGGGGATATCGATTTTCGAGCCACCGGCTTGTGCGGAGCAAAATTTGCACCACGGGGTGATAAGGGTTATTTTGGGGGGCTAAGCTAATATCTTGTTGTTATTTTCAAGCTTTTGATAGGGGGTATTTTGCAGTGTAACGGAATTTTTGCATTGTTTTACTTAGGAAAGCTCAAACTCTCTGACTTTATCTTAATCTCTTTCTCGCTCGCTCGCTCTCGATCTCTCTCACTCCTTTTCTCTCCCCTGTCTCTCTCTCTCTCTCGCTCTGCCTCTCTCTCGCTCCAATTACATTTTCAACATTTTCAATGGTTCCAGTATCAGCCAGACGCCACATCAATCGGCTCGAAAAACAAAGACGCAGTCGGTGTCAATCCGCCGCGATCTCTTATCGGCTGATCGCACCCAAATGCGAGAGAGGCCTGAGAAAAAAGCGAGAGAGAGAGACAGAGAGACAGAGAGAACAACCCAGAGCAGACCACTGTTTCCCCTTCCGGCATCACATGCCGGATTGAAATGGGCCCCCGTTTTTTTACTATTAGCCGGTCTGTTCTGATGTTTCGTTTCTTAATCTTAGAAATCATCAAAACGTGCCAATTTCTATGTATTTATCCTTCTAAGATCTGCTAATCCCCCGTCCGCTCCCTTCTTTGCCACTGACATTTTTATTAGCGTCTCCGATGGCTGGGAACTGGTTCTACCCGTCGTTTTTTTATGGAGAACACCAGGGGTATTGCCTTAAGATACTCGTATCTTCTTAAAGATCTTGATTTTTGAGAATTTCGACGAAGGTGGGGTTTCTATTGCTTGTTGCAGATGAAATCTTCAGGATTAGGCTTGGGTTTAGGCTCAGGCTTAAGAAAGCAAAGAAAGCAGCTTGCTAAAAATTGCTTTCCCTCGCGTAATGGCCCGTTTAGTTGGTAAAACCTAAAAAGAAGTCGTTTTATAAAGAGAACAATTGAAAAGTGAAGTGTACTACTTTTTTGTAATTAGTATATAGCACCCGGTACAGCTGGTACACAAGTTTGGCGGTAAATTTATATTTAAAGATTACTTATTAGTTATTTATTAAAAATTAAAGGAAGTTTTACTATAATATGTAGAAATTAGACGTTTAGCATGCCAGAGAGTACTTTTTAGAAGAATATCTGCATTTTTGGGGTCAGAATTAACTGGCAATAGCTACGCCACAGCAACGGCTTAGCTTTCAGCACGAGCTTGGCTTAATCTCAGCCATGTATCCAAGCATACGCAACAGAAGCGAGCTTTGTTTATTTTGTTGATCCGGAAATGAGTCATTGTATCCGATTCCACACCCATCTTGTACCTAATTTCCAACCTTCACGTGCATCGCACCACCGCGGTCTTTGCTTTGGCGAATTGGGGGGTAGACAATCGGAGCGCTGATTTCGATCCATCTCTATCGTCATATCTAGTTTCCCTCGGAAAATCGGCTGTTCCGCTTCACACCTTTATAGCGACTATGATCGGGTTTAAGGCTCAATGTGTTTTGAATTAGTCGTTCGAAAGTCTCTGCTAGCTTGCTGGTGGCGTAGGAAGTTTTCAAATGATCTCAGCTAGGTTGCCCTGGTTTTCTAAATTCCTCAATGTCTCTGCTTTGATACCTTTTTCTATTCTAAAGTTTTCTGCTGGTTTGTCTGCTTTTTTGGATAGCTTTTTCGGATTTTATTCGACCATTTTTGTTTCTGTATAAACGTAGTGTTGTTTTTTAGATAGTTTCTGATATTATGACACAGGACCAGCGATTGGCCGAAGTGATTCTTGACGGTACCTTAACCTAAGATCAGCCTTAAAACCCGGACGTTCAGATGGCCCCGTATTGCCGGACGCACCATTCCACCGACGTGGTGGTGCCAAGCTGACGACTTCACAGTTTGTGGAGGTAGGCTTGCGCTTAGGTTTAGCTAGGCGTAGGCTTGCTTAGGCTTAGGCTTGCCTTTAAATACGATTTAGGACCTAAGACAAACAATCGACGGACTGGAGCTGAACACGGTCGACGTAAATAAATTGGACAAACGGGCGCTCGAGGGGCTGGTGGAGGTCTGGAAGCGGCGGAACGAGAAAAGCGACGCCGGATTCCAGGTGAGCTAAAAAACCCCTCGACTTCAGATGTCCCTGTCCCCTTAAAGGGATGCCCAACCCTTCCGGAGCTCAAAAAGCAAAAACCACGCCGCGGGCGGGGGTCGAACCCGGGATCCCCGTTTTGTAGCCCAGGATGATATCCATTAGGCCATAGTGGCAAGCCGTTGGGTGGGATGGGGACGCCACAAGAGGGAAAGGTGTCCGAATCCTGTGCGGCACTGGCGCCTCATTGCCGCACAAAATTCCCGCGTCATTTGTACTTCCCGGAATACATAACTATATATTTGCCGCCAAAACCTTGGGTATCCCTTTAAACGCATTTTTGCAGTCTCTCCTCCTCGTGCTCGAATATTGCCTGTGCAACGTTGTCGAGGGTCATCAGCACTTTGAGGATTTAGTGTCGGCCCTCGGTTTTCATACAGTAAATGTATGAAATTTTTTTTGCAGGGTTACCGTTATTTTATAGTTCTGGAAAATCGTGGTGCCTCATATTTATGACTCGGATCTGTCGCGAGGCACCAAATTCCGAGATGCTCTTCTCTTCTCCTTGACCCTATATGACGTTAATACTGGCCGGAGTCGATTAAAGTTGGTTTGCCCATCCTATTAGTAAAACTAAAACTAAACTAACTGCTAAAGTAAATTAAAATTACTTAATAATTAATTATACTTAATTACTTAAAAATTACTTATACTTAATTACAAATGAGCAGAACGTTATAAAAGATCTCAATCTATTTATACAGAGAACTTTACGCAGCGGTGCCCGGGATTCGAAAATCGCTCCTTGGTGTGAATGCCAAGCAGTTTGGAGAGCGGTTCCACCATTTGCAAAAACGATATAGGTAATTTTATCCGTATTTAAGGGAATTATATTGAATTCAACGAAATATAAATTCTGCAGTGATTAAAACTCACATTTTTAGGAGTTCGGCAAGCCTGAAAGATTCGTGCGAAAATCTGGGAGGATCAAGTCATGGTACGCGTCTCTCTCACTCTCTCGCTCTCTCTCTCTTTCTCTCTCTCACGCTCTCTCACTCTCTCTCACTCTCTCTCTTTTTCAAGCCGAATTTCAGGAAGTCCAAATCGATCGCGTAGAGCTTCAGCCAGTGAAGATGATGAAAATTCGACGAGTTTCCAGACGGGCGGCCTGGCCGTTACCCATTTTCATGTAAAAAAAATCCCAAATTTGCTAAAATTAGATTTAGCAAAGAGTAATCAACGTCTCAAACGCCCCGCCGTTTTCGATCAAAAAGGAGAAGAGCGGCCAATGGGAGATTAAGCAGGTATGGATTGCCCGGCAGGCTAGCGGAGAACCTTTAGAGACTGGGGCAAGGTTGGCTAGAGACTGGGTAGGCAGGCAGACATTGTTTAGGCCCGTAGCTGCTAGAAGACGTTTGCTATCGGATCAGCCAACTAGCAGAGTTCTTTTACTGGCCAACAGCAATTTTTTCGGAAAACCACTCTATTTTTCAGGGCTCCGGCGGCTTGGTCGCCTGTGTGGATCCAGTGATGTCAAAAGATCACGAGAATGTGTGGCTGGCCAATCTGGGAATGAACGTCTCGAAGAAGACGCCGTAAGCTTGAATAAAATTTCTGTAAAACATTATTTTGAGTTCGGTGAAAGGCCTGGGAGAAGAGGGACCGTTTTTGGTACCGGCCACAAATACGCTTGGGATTCCTTTGATAAAGCAGACGATTGGGGAGGTAGGAAATCAAAAATAATTAAAAATTCCAAAAGTCTAAAAAATTTCCCTTTTAGGTGCTTTTCCATGTTATTGCCGACGACGACAAGCCGGACAAAAACAAGACGCAGGAGCAGCGGAAGACTAGGCAAAACTTGGTTGTTTTTTTTGTGAAAATCATTTTAGCGAAGAAATGTCGCTGATCGGCGTGTTGAACAACTACAATCGAGGGACGTATAAGCTGAATCCAGTGGTCGTACAGGTCAGTAACAGATTAGCTTCATTCGGCACGCTTCGGCTCAAGCTTAGGCTGAGGCTTAGGCTGGGCTTAGGCTTAGGCTGGGCTTAGGCTTGAGCTTAGGCTAAGGCTTAGGCTTGGGCTTAGGCTTAGCCCTTGGCCATAGCACGAATTTAAAAAACCTCTGGTTCATTTCGTAACCTTATTAAATTTAGGAAGAGGACTACAACGTTTACTACGGCGGCATTTCCAATGGATTACTATGGCCGGTACTGCATAACCTCCCCGAATACATTGTCAATGAGTACGAAGATGAACAGGTGAGAAAGCTTACGTAAAAACGGTTTAAAACTCTGCGTAATAGCTTTGTAGCAACTTGAAAATCGGGTTTGAGACGAATTAAACCTAAACACCAACGAAAATCACCTTTCCCCAGGTTCTCCGGGACCATTGGTGCTCCTACGTGCGCGTCAACTACCAATTTGCGATAGATGCGGTCAGGAATAGCCGAGCGCAGGTAATAAAAATTTATATATAAATAAAAATAGATAAACGATCAGAAAAAAAAAACTAAAATTCCGTTTAACAGGACTTCATCTGGATCCACGACTACCATCTGATGCTCACTGGGCTGATTATGCAAGGCATGGACTCGACGCTTGAGGTATCGGACGTTTTTTAGATGGGATTTAGCCTGGTATGCCTTGAATGGTCCTTTAAGGCGATAGAACACGCCAAAATCGACCATTTGCCCTGACTAGCTCTGGAGAATTGACTTTTTTGCCCAAAATTTTCATGAAATTTTTAACCAGCCGACGAGCCTTTTCTGCGAAACCTTGCTGTCTAGAGCTAGTGAAGGCAAGGGCCTTGGCGATACCAGTGCGTTCGGGCTGCTTTAAATCACAATAGGTAGCTTTGTTTAGGTCGGATTCTTCCTCCACATCCCCTTCCAACCGCCAGAGGAATTTTTCACAAAATATGGGACCGTTGGGCTGCCGATCATCCGGGGTTTGCTGAGGTTTACGAAGGTGGGCTTAGGCTTAGGTTTGGACTTAGGCTTAAGCTTAAAATTAGGCTTTCGCTTAGGCTTAGGTTTATGCTTAAACCTAGGCATGACCAATTCCTTTTCAAGGTCGGCTTCCAAACGCATCGGGACCGCTCAAAATTCGTCGAAGTTGTCGAAAAGTATCTACGCGGAGCCTACGTCGAGTACGACAAAGCGACGGACATCTTTACCGTAACCCGAAAAAAGCATAAAACGGGGGCTTAATATTTCCAGGCTGTCCACGAGGGCTGGAGCTGCTCCCTGGGCGTGTTTCCGGTTTCCATAAAAAACGAGGACTTTTTGAAGTTTGCGAACCTGCCTGAGACCGAGAAGCTGAGGTTGAAGTTTAGGGAAAAGGTATTAGGAACACTTATGGCAGATCATCTAAACTGTTCAGATTCTTGGTAAAAGTCCAAGTGAGGACGGGCGGTTCTTCTTTTCGGTGGAAAGATTCGATTACACGAAGGGGATCAAGGAGAAGCTGGTGGCCTATGAGAGATATTTTGAGAAGTACCCGGATCGGGTGGGAAAGGATGTGCTATGGCAGGTGGGAGAAAGGAATTATAACATTTTTTACACGGCGAAAGACAGCGCCGAAAAACTGAAAAATTATGGCGAGCTAGCGGAGATCCTTGGGGAAAGCTATTGGCTTGGTTTCAAGTGAAGGAAAGCTAGCAGTGAACCTTTGGGAATTCAGGGCTACGATAAATAACTTGCAGAGAAGTTTCAGGAAACTGGTCACGAGGTGAACTTTTAGCAAACCCCGTCGGCTATCGGGCAAGCTAGCTGAGAACCTTTAGGATAGGATTGGTAAGCTAGCAGGGACACTTGAGGCAAAAAGCCCTTTTGAAGGAACTAGCAAAAGTCTTGTACCGAAAAAGGCAAACTAACAAACATCCTTGAGGAAACGTTTCCAGATCGCGGTCACAAACCGTCGATCCGTCGATACTTATCGCGTCTACCAGGATGAATGCCTTGACATGGCCGACAAGATTAATCAACGATTTTCCGATCCGTCGAACCCTGCGTGGAAACCGTTGATATTCGAGACGGATGGTCCGTTTAGTTCCAAATTTAAAACAAAAGATAAACATAGATTTTTTCGACAAAATCGAAAGTTTAGGGCTTCCGCGAGAGCAGCTCGTCGCCGCCTACTTGGCGATGGACATTGGCATTGTTACGCCGAAGAAGGACGGGATGAATTTGGTAAGTTGGAAAGGTTACGCGCTACGCAACGCGCACATCAACGCCTTTACGTTGCCTAATGGAATAACACACCTTTAAATCGCTCAAAAGGCCAGGCTTAGGCTTAGGTTTGGGCTGAGGCTTAGCCTTAAGCTCCGGCTCAGGCCTAGGTACACTCTACATCTCAGGTGGCCAAAGAAATGTTGGTCGTCAACCCGAACGCTGGAATCATTCTCTCGTCCGGCGCCGGTTCTGAAGTTCAATTCACGACAGCTGGTCTGTACGATGAGCACGGCGAGAAGACGTACAAGCGGGTTGCTGACCCCTACGATGTTGAGGTGAAACTTAAGACTCTTTTGGGGACTTCTTTTACGACTTTTGACCAATTCCCCCAATTTAGCGATACGCCGACGCCTTCTACGCGGCGGCCATCGAGTCCAAGGAGGAACGCGCTCAACATGGGGCTAGATTGTCGGAATTCGTAAAAGCCAACGACATTGAGAGGTTAGAAGAATCAACCGTCAGGAGCTATTCCATTTTCTAGGTGGAGCACGGCATTCCTGGACCCGAGTTGGACGCATCAGGTCATTCGCCCAATTCACGTAAGCTTTTTTATCGTTTAAAGGGGCCAGAAAGCGCACAACCAACTTTTTGCCGCCTAGGTCTCGTCAAATCCCAAAATAAGCAGCTAGCATCGATTCAAGACACCAAAAAATGAGATTTCCAGGTGGAAACCCTCGACGATTTCTACTCGCTAATGATGCGAACCAGGAACATTAGACGTCAAATCGTGGAGCGGGTGCTGAAGGGGATTCCGATAAAGCCGCATTTCGGAATATCGCTGAGGAATGCTAAGGTCTGGGTGTTGATCGTCCCTTAAACGCTCGAATTAAGGATTCGTTGGAGCAGAGTTGCATTCCGAATACGAAGACATTGTTGCTGAAATCTTCTCCGGACTCACCAGAGGTAGGGGGCGAGAGAGAGGTAGCGGAAGAGAGAGAGAGAGAGAGAGAGAGAGAGAGAGAGAGAGATAAAGTGACAGAGAGAAAAATAGAAGATCAATTGAGATGGCCAAATTCGGGATCGAGGACGAGGTGTGGGAGTTCGAGAAGGATCTCTCGTTCATCAGCCACCTACAAAGCGATGACGTTGATAACGTGGAGCGATTTGTAGATGTGGGTAGGCTTAGGCGTTGGCCTAGGCCGAGGCTTAAGCCTAGGCTGGGGCTTGAGCTTACTTTACCTCAATTCCAGACCCTCGTCGCCCAGCATCCAATCTCGACCGAAGCCTTCAAAGAGGAAGTCAACCGAGCCGTCGAACTGCTCTACGACGCTGATCATTTCCAGTACTTTTTCACCGATCGGTAACGTGATTTATCCATCCATTTTTGGCCTTATTCAGTGATGGGACGTTGAAGAGCTACTCCTGCTCGTATCCAGCTTCTATACAACCGGCTTATTCCGGAGTGATTCAGGTATGTAATTAGAAATTTAGATGTTTCGGGACTAATATAATACAACAAAAAAGTGGAGTAATCGTTATTCAATATATATTAAGCTATTACAATTACACTTAAGTCTCAATTCGCAAGAAGATGTGCTCAGACTTGCGCGATTTTGACCACCGCTCCACTGTTCCACATCGGTATCCTGGACGTATCGACAATACCGGAAGGGTTCGTGTTGGCTTGGCTTAGGCTTTGGCTTAGCTAAATTTCGAAGGTATCAGTATTAAAGACGTATATTCCAGATATTACTACTACGGGGCGTCCGCGGGCCGAGAGTGGTTTATCGACCCGGGCAACAAGTTCAAGGACAACTCCATCCCGGCTGCACATCTGGAAATGTTGGATCGGGTACCGCAACGAAAAAGATCTTAATTTACATTTCCTAGGTATTCGATGGTATCTCCTCCCTACTCGATAAGCCCGAGTTCAAGCCGTTCACCTGGGTGGGCTCCGGGTTGCAAGTGGGTTTTCGAGGTCATATCTTAAAAGCATACCCCAGAAACATTGCGGCCACATCACCATCGCCCTGCAGGACATCTACAAGTCGGTGAACCCGAACTTGTCGCAAAAGTTGGCGTCGAGTGTAGGGAAAAGCGCCAAAGTCAGATCTTTGGCCGATTTTAGGTGAAAACCATCGTGCAAGCCGTCGACCCGGAGGCGACAACCTTATTTATTAACCAGGCTGAGCTGGATTTGAAGATTTGTCTCAGGGTATGAATTTTTCAGCCTATTTATTTTCATTTGACGGCATGTTGCATTTATTATTTTTAAGGACAATGAAGATGGGCGGACGTTCAATAAGGGCGATGGTGTTCGGCTGCTTTGCACGACGATGAAATGTGATTTGAAGGTTTGATTTTCGAGTTTGTAGAAATTGTAGTTTGTTGTCTGTGGCATTCTTGTATCTTGTATTTGGCAGCAAAAAGCTTCTAAATAATATTGTACCCCGTAGTCTGCGGCTTCCTCTTTTCGTTATAGGTTGTAGTCTACCGCCATCCGCTGGTTTGTTGCCCTGTTTTAAGACCCTTTTATAATGCGTTAGTTCGAAGCCGCAACTTGGCGTATTTCGTAGCATAATTGGTGGTTTATACGATGCTTCTCTAGAAATCGTATGCGGTCGAAAAAGGCCTATTTGCAGGAAGGCAATATTCTCGTCTGCGGCGACTCCGACACGGACTTACCAATGCTCGAGCACTGCCTGGAAAATGCGCCCTCGGAGCATGTGTACACGATTTGGGTTACGGTATCGGAAACGTTGAAGCAAAAGGTAGGCGGAAAATACGACTCATCCGAAGCTTAAGCCCAGGCCTCAACATCTCTCTAGGTATCCTCTCTCTGCGATCGATACGGCAATCGGAATGTCGCGTTTGTGTCCTGTCCAGAAGTATCTAACGTAGCGTCCATATTTCAAAAAAATTCTAGGTTCTCCTCGGCGCCATGGCCCAGGCAACAATTCTAGAGATCCAGGTGGCCCACCCAAGGAAATTCTCTCAAATTTGAGTCCCTTTCGCCTGCTTGGGCTTTCTCATGGGTCTAGCCACTGTGATTTGTGTCTTTCACCAATTGTCAATGCATTTAGAATTTGATAAATAATACATGGTATGGCTGAAAATTTTTGTTGAAGCCGCGCCTACCGTATCTTGGCTCCCCGTTGTTCGGCTGTGGTGTTATGTATACCAAAATACACGCCGGATCAAGACGGAGATTTCGGCCGACTTTACCCATGAGTAGGTCCATGGGTAGTCGACCGCGACCACCCAATAATGCCCTTTCCCGCTCAAAACACAGAGTTGCCTCAAAAGGCGAGGAAAAGCCTCTAGAGCTGTACAGCTTGAAAACGACGACCCTTCCCAAATTGCCCGTTTATTCACAAAGCAAAAATCAAGCCGATAGCGTCATTCTGTAAATCACAATTGAAGGCATCGTAACGTTGTCGACTTGGGGGCGCCTAGCCGCGACGCGCGCGCTTCCGGGCCGGCGTGGTCGGAGTCTTGGAGGTGGCGGCGGCCGTCTTGCGCTTGGCGGGGGCGCGGCGCTTCGGGGTCTGGAAATGGAGGGCGTTCTGGGAATTTTAAAGTTGCAAAAGTTAAATACAGGGTGTCCCAAAAAAAACACCCCTCCGGCATTTTGCCGTATTACATCCGATCGGTCCGAAATTTGGACCAGAGGTGTATCAGACCATAAATAACCACAATCCTGACTTATAGCCCGCCAGCTGCAGTAAACTTCGAGATACATCAAAAATAAACTTTATTATCCGTTTTTCATATGGTTTTCGTCAAAATCGACCCTTCGAATATTAAGTGAAAATGAAGCGGCAAGCCTGCTTTACCCCTAGAGATTTTTTTCTGATAAAAATTGGTGAAATAACCGTTGATTTCAACAATTTTTGTAACGCAAAGTCATCCCCGATATTAAGCGAAATTAGGGATTTGCATCCGGAAGTCGATGCAAATCGCCGCGTAAAAACAGTATTTTGACGATAACTCGAAAACTACTGTAGCGATCGGGCTATAACTCAGGATTGTGGTTATTTAGGGTCTGATACACCTCCAGTCCCTTTTTGGGACTGTTGGGATGTAATACGGCGAAATGCCGGAGGGGTGCTTTTTTTTGGGACACCCTGTAGTTGTCGCTCATTTTGCTAAAGCCTTATCTAAGAAATTTCGTCTTGATGAAACTTTTTGAACCGCCAAAAAATCAAACCTAAACTACGCGCTTCAAAAACTTACAGCCTTCTTGGGGGCGCGGCTGGTGGAGCGGGGAGCACGGGTCGAGCGCTTCCGGGAGCGGCTCGAGCTGCGGCTCCCTGAGCGACCGGTGCGGGGCGAGCGCTTGGAACGACTCGAGCTGCGGCTGCTGGTGCGGCCGGTGCCCCGCGAGCGGCGGGAACGGCTCGAGCTGCGGCTACGGGCGGTATGCGACGAGCGCGAACGAGCGGTGTGCATCGAACGGCGGCCAGAGCGGGCCCGCGTGGAGCGCCGACTGTTGGCGGTACGCAGCGAGCGGCTGCTGGAACGGCTTGAGCTACGAGTGCTCGAACGGCCGGTGCGGGCCGAGCGCTTGCTCCTTGGGGTCCTGGCACGGCCGGTGCGCTTCGAGCGGCTGCCGGAGCGTGAGTGGCGCGACGAGCGGCTGCTGGAGCGGCTGCGGCGGCCACGCTTGTTGCGGCTGCTGGAACGGCCGGTCTTGCGCAGGGTCTTCCGGGCACGGCTGCCAGAGCGGCTGGCGCGGCTGGCACGGCTACGGCTCGTGTGGTCGCTGCGCAGGGAGCGGCCGGACGACTATAGAAAAACGAATTTTCATGCGAAAATCTTCAAGCTTACCTGACTATTGGAGCGGCTGCTGCGGTCGCTCTCGACGGCGGCGGCAGGGGCGGCTTTCTGGCGGCGGGGAGGATTCCGCATCTTGGCGATCGACGAGTAGAGGCGGTCAGCGACGAGTTATGAGATCATAACCCTCGTTCGATTCTTTTTCATAGTAACTTTCATACGGAAAATACACCGGATTTCCGGATGCGGCTCGCAAAATATGCAAATTTGGGTTTGGCTAATTTTTGTTTGAGGCGTTTTAGCGTTTTTTGGCTGTCGGGAAAATGACCCAAGTCTTTTCGTTTACTTTGTTTATTTTCAAGCGTTTGCCGAGGCTAAAAGGCTTCGCGTCGAATTGAGGGGAATCGAGAGAGCGCCAAATCGCCTCGAGGGCGACACAATGCCCTTCTTGTGGGGGCTACTCAAAGAAGGGAGTAGGAGGAGAACGAGGAGCACGAGGAGCCTTTGGGGGAGGATGACCTTCGAGCCGTCGAGAGAGAGCCATCGTTTGTCTGTCTGTCTTTAGTTGTGTTTGTCCCTCAACGGTTGTCCCTCTCTGATTAGGGCGGCGTGTGGCTGAGGGGGGTTGAGACATCGTTTACCTATTGGCAGCTTGCCGAATTCTTTGGAAAACCGGGGGGTTAAGCCTAAGCCTAAGCGTAAGCCTAAGCTCGAACCCAAGCTAGAACCCACCACTAAATTTTCTTATCCGTGTGCTTTTTCCCTACCGTTTCCAAACCCCCATAACCCCCCGAACTCGCTGAAAACGTCGAGATCTGTCCTCTTTTTCCGTTGCTTTTACCGTCCCGGGCAAAGTGCACAACAAAGCCGCCCCCCATCCGTACAAATGAGCAGCAGCGCGGCGAGCAGGAGACAATTTGGTGCCTCCGGGCATTTCCGTGCTGTCTTGACGAGAGCGGCGTGAAAAAGTGGACGGATCACACGGGCGGGTGGATGGCCTCGTAGCCGTCATTGTGGCGGGGCAAGTAGTCGTTGCTCTTACCTTTATAAAATCTCGATTTTAGCTAGATAATAGTCTTCTTTAACTCATTTTCAGTAAGCCTGGATGTGAGCCGAAGCCCAAACCTAAGCTAAGCCTACAATTTTCCGGCTGGAATTTCGCCATCCCCACCCTCAAAAAAGCTGAGAACAACCTTTTTCGATATTTTCACATCCTTGATCGCATGCACTCGACCTTCCTCGTGAGTTTAGTCTACCCTCCCCGGGTGCAGCTTTTCAGTTTTCACAGAGTTGACCCCGCCGGGAATTGGCGCCAGTCGGAATTTTGGCTAATATGGGCAAAAGGCGGAGGAATGACGACAAATCCCAGGTCTTTAGCTTTAAATTAAGCCCGTAATTATTTGCTAATGACGCTAAATCTTTTACGGTTGGTTTGGCAAATCTGCGGCCACCAAAAACACGGCTTGTCGGCGGTGTAAGCGTAAAGGATCGAAATAATTCATACAAAAATTGACGAGTTTGAGTTGAATTGCCGAAAATTTTTAGAGCCTGTCCAAAGAGCTTCGTTTTAGACGGCCGAACATAGCACCAAAACATGGCCTGGGTTGCGGTTTTTTTTAACTTTTTGCATTTTGAACAGCCTAAAAAAATCCATTTCTGTCCTAACGTAATAGGGGTGTTTTTTTAAGAAACCGAAGCTAAATCGAAGCTAAGCCTATATCCAGGTTCATGTCCAAGCGCAAGCCTAAGCTAGTTTGCTAATCCCAATTTTAAGCCGAAGCTAAGCCCATGTCCAATCCTAACCTGGTCTAAGCCTAAGCCTAATCTGGTCCTAAGCCTCAGCTAGCTTAAGATGAAAGTTGCTCAAGATTAGCCTAAGCCTAAGCCTAAGCTTCCTTGTAAGCTCAGGTAATCACCAGCCAGGGCCAAACTCTGCACTTTCCCATAAAAAAAAACTTCCCCAGCTTTCCCCGATTGTCCAGGTGTGTATTTCAGGATCCAGCAGCCATACCAGTTTCCCCTTTTACAGGTTTCTTTTTGCGGGACCCGTTTCTCCTCCTCCCCCCATCCTCGTGCTCCCCTCCCCCTATTTCTCATATTTTTTGTTCTCCTGCCTTGTGTGTGTCTTTTGGGGGGATCGCAGGCCATTCGGGCGAGCTATCGGCTCGCCTGAACCGCCTGTCCCAACACTGCGCCCGGCCTTCCTTTCATTTTCTATACCCTGTTTAACCCAAAAAAAATAGTTTTATGCCTTTGGCACCGGGTTCAATCTTGGAGCGAAACGGGCTGCCCGCTACCCTTGAGAAAATTGGGTAATTTTGGAATTGCCGTAGTCGACTGAGGGTCGTAAATCTGTTCGGAAGTGAGGAAAAGGAAATTGCGCTGCTGTCACGAGGTTTCTAATGTTTCGATCCTATTTAATCATGCATCTTGGCTAAGGCCTAGGCTTCGGCTTAGGCGTAGTCTTAGGCTTGGGCTTAGGCTTAGTCTTCGGCTCGGGCTCAGGCTTAGGCTTAGGCATATACTTAGCCTTAGCCTTAGGCTTAGATTTAGGCTCAGACTAAAATTTAGGCTGGGCTTAAGCTTAGGTTTAGGCTTGGGCTTAAGATTTAGGCAATCATCGAACCATGCAAACATCTACCATCATATGTCCATTTTTATACGTGTTGAATCCCCCCATAATTTGGGCCCTTTCTGGGCCCTTGCTATCGGGCCTGCCGAGCAGTGGTGTGGGGGGGCGTGATTGAATTATCGGCGGCCGTCGGCCATACTTTGGCTCACCTGAAGGACCCTCTCTTCCACACCTCACCCTCCAATAATTAGTGGCCCATCCCTTGTGAAGTATCGATTTTTACAGTTTTTCGAGCTCGATTTTTGGTTTTCTGAGCCTTGCTATAAACCTAAAAGAATCTTATAATTTTCTTCATACCCGCTCTTTTTTGGGGCTCAGTATAGTCATAATTCGATGCAGCCCCACCATGCCATTCACTCTAACCACCAATATGCTAATTGCTCTTGTGCGGTGAGGTGAGTTGTGTGTGTGTGTGGCTGTGAGTGAAAACGAGTTCCGGCCCTCCGCCCCCCTCGACAACAGCCATCGAGTTCACAAATCCTCATTTATGGCCACTCACCGCCACTCGCTCTTTTCACCATCTTTTTGGGTATTGATTTTTGTAGGACTTATTGCTATATTTTGTAGTTTTCCTTGCGCTTGAGTTTAACCAG